GGAATCCAGTTTACTGCGAAATTGAGTATCCAAAAAAATCCCGTTCTGATCCTAAGTTCAAGGGAATGAAGAGAGAGAATCATTGATCGGCGCCTAATTCCACCACACACAGGGGGTCAAGCCCACAACCCGCGCATGTGACTGATCCAGATCCCACACACACAGTGGCCCCAGCCAGGGATCCGTATTTTCTCTGATCAACATTAGAACAAAACGCCGCTGAACAAAACATCACTTGGAGACCTGCTTCTGTGTGGTACAGGAGGAGAACTAAGGCTCTGGGACACTTAGTATATTGCAAAGCACAGAGCAGTAAATGAACAAAACATCACTTGGAGACCTGCTTCTGTGTGGTACAGGAGGAGAACTAAGGCTCTGGGACACTTAGTATATTCAAAGCACAGAGCAGTAAATAACGAATCTGTGGAAGGCTTGAATGATTCCTTCTGTTGGTTAGTATATATCTGGTATATCTTTTTTCTGTCTCTAACTTTGGACCTTTGTCATTCTTTTTAACTTTTAATCTATGTTTTAATTTTTACTTTGTTTCAGGTAAATAAATGAAATCTGTGAGCCTGTCTTTTACTTGCAAGTTTATTCCATCTAAACATATTGTGATTACTGATGATGTTTCATTTCTCACATCTGTTTTGTGATTTTTATTTAATGGACTCTATTTTTCCTGCTTTGTATCATATAGTCATGGCCAAGAGCATGGGGTCTAGAGATAGTCTATCGGGGCTTGGATGCATCCCTTGCTAACTGTGCAGTCTTAACCAGGATACCTCATCTCTTTGAGATTCAGTTTCCTCTATACAAAAGGGGTACTACCCAACTCAAAGTTTGTGAGCATTAAGTAATAAAATATATAAAACACTTAGAATAGTGACTGGCCTAATATACACATTCCATTTTAGTGCCTTTGTATTCTCTTTTTAAGCAAGTATTTTAGAGATTGCTCCTGAATTTTAATGAACATACTAGATGTTAAAAGTTAAAGTCTGTTGTTTAATCCACCCATTGTATTGTACATCAATTGTTCTATATATTTTATTTTCATAAGGTCTGGGTTTTTTAAATTGATTTTAGAGAGAGGAAGGGAGAAAGAGAGAGAAAGAAACAGCGATGTGATCAGTTTCCTCCCCTACGCCATACGCGCCCCACCTGGGTATTGAACTTGCAATGTGGGTAGTGCCCTGAATGGGAATCGAACCCGTGACCCTGGGGTGCATGGGACAGCACTCCAACCAACTGAACTACACCAGCCAGAGGCTATTTGTTCTTTTAAAAAAATATGATCTGTTCTTTTTACCTGATGTCCTGATTTTATTACACTTCCTATGATTTATTTTTAAAATGATTCATCCATACTTCTTCCAGGCTCTCTTTTAGGTTGCTTCATATGGTAATTTTAGGCTCTGGAATACTAAGCATCCTAGGGTTTTAGGGTTTGCTTCTTCTTTTGGCTGTTCTTAGTCCGTGTGTGTGTGTGTGTGTGTGTGTGTGTGTGTGTGTGTGTAGAATTGTGTGAGTTTCTCTTTAGCGAGGATTATTTTATTTCCTGTGATTGTCCCATGAACCCTGGTTTATAAAAGTTTCCCTAGAGAACAAATCTGTGTTGCTTATCCTTAGGCTCCAAGTGATTTGCTCAATCTGGAGTTCTGTTCTATTTTGCTTGCAGATTCCTGTATCCTAAGTAGAGTAGAACTAAGGATCCCACATCCACATGAAGGATGAGCTGAGGGATTAGCTTTTTGAAGGGAGACTGTTTTTTCCTGGAGCCCCCAGTCGCACCAGCTTCCTCATCCCTCTCCGGCGTCAGTGTGTAGGTCCTTTGCGTCTCCTTTGACTTTCATGCAGGGGGTCTCAGTAAAGCAAGAGAGTATATCAGGCATGAATCCTTTTTCCCGAAGGAACATTATAACCCTAATCACTGTGTGGATTAAAACCCCTTCCCTCCAGGGCACCGTGGCGCCAGCCCACAGCTTCCCGTTCTGGCTTTAAGTTTCCTGTTTGTTTTTGTCACCTGGGAATTTCTTTTTCCTTCACAGTTAGCTCACGGTTATTTTTGTTGTTGTATTTTATCCAATATTACTAAGAGTTTTATTTTTTAAAGGGACTCACATTTGCTCAGTTCACCACATTTCCAGAACTGAAAGCTCCAGTTCTAGAGTATCTGTCAGATTCTTCTCAAACATACCACTCAGTGTATTTCTCTGGTGAACATCTTTATCCTTTCATCTATTTTTTCCATTATTTCCTCTACTTTATTGGACATATTAATTATTTTATAGTCTTTATTTGCTGACCCTGTTACCTGGGCTTGCATTTGTTGTCTAATGTTTTTTATTCTCACATTATCAATCATATAGTCTTGATACTTCACATGTCTAGCAATTTTTTATTATTCAGCAGACACGGTGAGCAAAAATCCAGTGACACTACTATGCTGTCACCTTCCATGAGAGCAATTTCTCCCCTTCCTGTTAGGCAGGTAGGGTTAGGGGCTGATCTTCTCACTCTAGTCAGGCTTGGAGATGGGTCAGGACTAAATTGCAATTTTTAAAATAAATATGTATTTATTGATTTTAGAGAGGAAGGGAGAGGGAGAGAGAGATAGAAACATCAATGATGAGAGAGAATCATTGATCAACTGCCTCCTGCACGTCCCCACTGGGGATT